GCATAGTTATATTGAAATTAGACAAAAACTGTAAAGTAAAAATATTACTCAAGACATTGGTGTCACTGCCTAATGATGCAATGTTCAATTTGCATGGAAGAGATGACAATTGTTAACTTGTATTTACCTAATAACTTAGCTTCAAAATATACGACCTCAGGGTCGGCCTGGTGGTGTAGTGGTTAAGTTTGTGCGCTCCGCCTCAGCAGCACGGGGTTCCCAGGTTTGGATCCCAGACGTGGACCTATGCACCACTTATCAGGCCCTGCTGTGGCAGCATCCCACATATAAAGTAGAGGAAGATGGGCATGGATGTTAGCCCAGGGCCAATCTTCCTCAGCAAAAAGAGGAGGATGGGCAACAGATGTTAGCTCAGGGCTAATCTTCCTCCCCAAAAAAAAAAAAAAAAAAAAACCTCTTTTACCATATCTCTTTCAATAACTGGTAGATGAAATAGACAAAAGGCTAGTAAGTAGACAGAAAATTTGAACAACAAAAATTTTTAAAACTTGATCTTAAGAATATACAGACCACTGCACTCAACATTGTTGTTAACAATACATAAAATATTTAAGAAAATGGACCACGTTAAGGCTCTAAATAGTGTCCATAAATTTCAATGAGTTTTCTCTGATTATAATGCAATTAAGTTAGAAATCATTAATAAAAAGACAACAAAAAAATTTCCCATGCACACACATATGTACTCACATGCTCTAAATAACTTATGGGTCAAAAAAGAAATTGTAATGAAAATTTAAAAATACTTAATATTCAATGATAACAGTACTTAACTGTGAGAGGAAAAATTAATAGTTTTAAATAAATGCTTATATTAGAAAAAAGAAAGATTGAAAATTAATGTGTTTAGCACTCTGTTTAAGCATAAGAACAGAATAAACTCAAAAACGTAGAAGAGAACAAATAAAGAGCAGGAATAGAGGAAATTTTAAAAATGCTCTATGAAAGATCAACAAAGCCAAAAGTTATTTCTTTGAAAAGACTAATAAAACCAACAGACTGCTGGCAAGAATATTCAAGACAAAAGAAAGATAGAAGGCACAAATAAACAATATTAATGATAATAAAGGAAAAAAGAACGAGTACAAATAAAAAAGATAATAAGAAAATATTAACAAATATATGTCTATAAATAAAAAAAACCGACAAAATGTACCAATTCCTAAGAAAATATTAACTATAAAATTAACTCAAGAAAAACTAAAAATCCAGAATAGTCCTATAATTATTGAAGAAAAAAGGTAATTAAAAATTTTACCATGAGGAAAATGCCAAATCTAGCCAGTTTTACAGGCGAGTTCTAAAGATAATTTGAATCTTACAGGAACTCTTTTGAGAGAATAGAAAGAACACAAAATGCTATCTCATTCATTTTAAAAAAGCAAATATATCTTTCATTCTAAAATGAGAAAATGGAGATTTGAGAAGGATAATTAAGAGACTAGTCACTCATGAACATAGACGCAAAAATCATTAGTGAACACTATTCAGCAATATTTAACATGTATCATGACCGAGTTAGGTTTATCCCATGAATGAAGGGGTTGGTTCAATATTAGAATATCAATTATATTAGTTAACTCACCACACTAACATATTAAAGAAGAGAAATAAAATAATTATTTTGTGTAAGAATAAATGCTAAAAAAGCATTTGATCAAATTTAATATCTATCCATGGTAAATAATATTAATAAACTAGGAATGGAAGGAAATTTTCCTTAACATAATTGCAACTAATTGTTAATCATTAAAGGCCCTTTCTCTGAAAATCAGGAAGAAGACACTGATGCTTGCCAATCTAAGTTTTATTCAGCACTGTATTGGAGCGTCTAGTCAGCTTTATAAACAAGAAAAAAATAGGTAAAATGAATGAGGATTACAAAAAATCAAAACTGTCATTAATGAGAGTTGACATGATTTCTCCACAGAAAACTCCATAATAATCTACACACAAATCATTGAAATAAAGACTGCCGAAAAACGTTTCTGGACAAAGGAGCAATATACAAAAGGCAATAGCATATGTGTGTGTGTGCGTGTATAAATTTATTTATACATATATTCTATATACTTGCAATAAAAAGAAAATATAACTTTAAAGATTTTATTTATTTATTTTTTTCCCCTTAAAGCCCCAGTAGATAGTTGTATGTCATAGCTGCACATCCTTCTAGTTGCTGTATGTGGGACGCGGCCTCAGCGTGGCCGGAGAAGCGGTGCGTCGGTGCGCGCCCGGGATACGAACCCGGGCCGCCAGCAGCGGAGCGCGCGCACTTAACCGCTAGGCCACGGGGCCGGCCCAGAAAATATAACTTTAAAAGATACTATTGCCATAACAAAAAAAGTATACCTAACTAAAAGATGTATAAGATTTTCTGGAGAACATTTTGAAACTTTATTGAAAAATATAAAAGAAGATCCAAATAAACGGAGACATAAACCATATTAACAGATAGGATGATCCAATATTGCTAAGTCAATTCTCCAAAGCTTTACAAATAGATCCCATGCAATTCCTAACAAAATTACACAGAGTTTTTCAAGAAACTGACTGATAAAATGTCCATATTTTCCATGGATGAGGTGATTCTAAATCACAGAAGCACAAAGCCTAAGGACTGCCAACATGTTTCTAAAGAACAAGAAGGCCACAGAAGAGCTCGCGCAAGTCAGCAAGAGACATTAGCACTCCAGTAAAAAAGGAGGCCAGTAAACATGCGAAGACATGTTCAGTTTCAAATGGAACGATAAGGACATTCTTTTTTCACCTATCAAATTGGCAAAGATGAAAAAAAAAAAACTAATGCTCATTTTAGTGCAAGTGTATCACGTAAGCATTCTAGCAGAGAGTGCTGATGACAACGGTGAATTGGTACAACCTTTCCAGAAAGTAAGTTGTCAATATGCATAAAGAACGTTAAGGGTTTTATGCACTTTGAACCAGTAATTTCACCTCCTGACATCTATTTTCTATAGAAAATAATGGAGGTATATCCAAAGAATTATTCATAGCAGTGTTCATAGCAAAGACATAGGAAATATTTGTGATATATTTTAAGTAGGAAAACTAGATATGAAACTATATAAAGATTCTACTGCATTAAAATATTGGATGGAAATACTGAAAATTGATAGTGGGTTTATGGGTGATTGTTATTGTCTTGCTTTTCCTTCTCACTTTTCTTAAAATTCCCAAATTCCTTTCAAAAATTATGTGTTGCTTTTAAAGGAAAACAATAATAAAATTGGGACTTGGGAACCTTTAAAAACATATTTTGTTACTCTGTATCCTTACAACTGTTTTTCATCATTAAAATAGAGAAAAAATAAAATCAAGCATTCTCCTTAAGCAGATAAATTATGTTAATTGGACTTATAGTATATTCTCTTCATGTTTCAAGAAGTAAGCTTTAAATACACTTAGTAATCAGCCACGTAAAATATTTTGGCCATAAAATTGGCAAGGAACTCAAATGCATAATTACCTAAAGCACATAAATACAATACATATAAAAACATATGCTGTATATTTATAATTAACACTGAATACATTATAATTATTCAGTATCTCTTGTATAATTTCCCTCAAGTAAACAGATAAAAGGTTTTCCGTGTGTCCCTAAAGGGCAACCATAGAGAATAAAGGGAGTGAAGAAGTTTTTTACATTTTTAAGATACTAAATAATATGAATGAATTTCATCAAGGACATAAAATTTATTTTATTTCAGAAGATGCAATAGAAGAAATTGCAAAAGTCAGCATGTTCTCATTCTTTTCAGTGATATGACAGGTCAAAAAAATTATGGGCTCTGATTCAATATTATTTTGGTCTACATACATAACGCGTAACAATGATGTGAATTTATACCATATAAAATGTGAAATAAATTAAGTAATTTAAAACATTTAAACCATATATTTCCTTATTATTCACGATCCTTAAAAACTGGGACAGCGGGCATTAGGTATGTAACGCAACTACGATCATAAACACATTTCAGACATCATGAGGCCTTGATACAAAAATGGACTAATATCATTAGCATATCCTCTCAACTCAGAGTTCCTGGTGCTTTGGAGATGGGGTGGGGGTTATAGGTGGGGGTGGGGGTTAGAGGTGAGAGTGGAAGGGGTTGAAATGGGAGAAGTGAGAGGAAGAAAAGATGGGAAGGGAACATCAGGATAGAAACCCCTCATTCAGAGATGCTGAATAAACTCAAAACTGGAGAGAGAGAGAGCCAGACAACTGCCGGTGGATCCTAAGTGATGGCACTTTCCACAGCAGTGACTGCCAGACTGTGGCTCTCAGGCAGCTAGTCAGTGTCGCCCACTGGAAAACCTCCCATCCATGGAAATATGCCAACCAAACTGGAAGTCTGGCATCACTGAGGTGAAGGCACTACTAATAATATCAGAGATGTTTAGTGAGTGCTTGGTCTTCACAACTGATGGTGTTGCTTCAGGAAAGTGGAGTGAAGAGCCCAGCATTAGGGTCTCAGCAGAGACTCTTCAGTGACATGACAGGTCAAAGACTTGGGACCCAAGTCTTCTGATTGCCAATCTATTGTCCTTTCTACTATATGGCACTATTGTTTGGAAAAAATAATTGACTTTTCAACTGGTTATTTATGTATCATTTAATCAAAGCTTAAAGGTGTTATCTCGGTTCTGCCTGGAGGTCAGAGATCCAGTTAACAAGGTTGTCACTATCATCCTGTATCACCTCATTGAGAAAAGATTCAACATCTTCCAGAGAAGATCTTTTAGAAAAACTTGGGCATTCACACACAACTCAAGTTTACACATTCATTTTCTCCCTCTCTCCTTCCGTCCTCTCTCTACTGGGTTGGTTGGCAGTAATAAGCCAGGGAGGCAGCATATAGAATCTATGCTCTCAAGAGCTGTAGCTTGATTTTAGCTTATAACTGCTCCTGGTAGGTTTCCGACGAGCCAGGCAGGCTGATACCTGCAGAATGATTTTTCCTGCGTCTCTTAACAATGAAAAACATTGAAAAACAATGAAAAAGAGCAGGAGAGGAGCAATGTTGGAATGACCTCACTCTCAGAGCTGGGGCACTGAGCGAGGTTAATGGGCAGCATCTGCAGCCGCTGAGATGTGGAAACACACTCGAGTTGATGCTTCAATGGAGCCCCCAGGGCTGGACGGGTCCTCTGCCAAAGGACAGAACACTTCAAAGCAAACAAAACTGCACAGAGGAAAAATAACACTCTTGCCATGAAATCACAAGTCAAATCAATAAAACACAAGGTTAATTTCCATAGATCTGTATCTCCGTGGTATTGCATGAGGAGGTGATGTAGTGTAATGGAAAGAACATGGAGTTTAGAGTCAACAGATTATGGAATAAATCCTATCACTCCATAGCAGGATGGCTTTGGGCAAGTTACCTAAATTCTGAGTCATTTCTTCATTTGTAAAATGGATATGATAATAATGTAATAGCCCTGTGGTTAGAAACATCTGTGTGTGTGTGTGGTGTGTATCTTCGTACAGTGCTGACACATTAGTTCTTAGACAAAGTTAGGCACCCATCAACATCATCATCAAAATTCTAAGAGCCAAGCAAGATTTTGTGAAAAGTCTACTCCTCAAAACCTTGCTCCCCACTGACATATGTCCATAATAGCACAAATTACCTCTATGAGCTTTGAAACTGTGTATGATGACATATAGCTTCTCTCTTAGAATAGTCATGTTACAAAATGCACTCAAGTCTCATCTAAATAATTCACATTATTTCTATTGGGGTTAAATAAGAAATTTAAAGCAAATATGGATTAAAATATTTATCCTAAAATTTTTAAATATATGGTTGCATTCAACAAGTAAAATGATCAGACAGAAGCACGTCCATTCTTACTGTTTTTAAACGATTGGTATTGGTAAGGTTCAAGTAGGTCAGCACAGCTTTTTCAGGTTGGATGCTGCCAACCCACAAAATCCTGTATGATGATTGGCACCATTCTGAGCATGTATTTTGTAATAGTTCTAGCCATCTTTAATTTCATTTTCCCTTCTAGAGTTGTACGCATTTACATAACACAGAAATCAATATAAACTGATTTATAAAGTAACTTATATTTAGTAGTGTGTGTCAAATACCTATTGAAGAAATCAATTAATATATACTCTACTATCCTTCAGTTAATATACTGCCTACTATATTATCAATTAATATACTGACCACTGTATTATCAATTAACATGTTGCCTACCATGTTTTGAAACCCAGAGCTATGAGACTGTGGAGGGAATGGCTGCTTCTGATTGGAGATATAGGAAAGCTTCAGGAGGAGGTAACATCTGAAGGGATCTGGCAAGTAAAGAAGGAGCTGGAAGTCCCTCCAGGCAGAGGCCACAACATGAAGCACAGCCCAGAGACACGGAGGTGCCTCGAGTGTGATAGAGGGTGAGTAATTCAGAAGAGCACACAGTGGAGAGTAGCTGCACTTAAAGTTAGAGCCTGAAATACAGGCCAAGGTCATGTCATAGAGGCCTGAGTATGCCATGCTAAGGAGTTTCTTATTTTTGGAAAGAATCCATAGCAGATATTTGAGCAACAAACATGATAATATCTATGTTTTACAAAGAAAAGTGGTTGCAGAGCAGAGGACAGACTTGAAGGAGGGAGACTAAATGCCAAGAGTTAAATTAGGAGACTCTCACAACAGTTCAGGCAAGAGATGAGGGCCCGGCAGCGGGACTGGAGAGGGAGGGGCAGAATTGGGAATGGTGGGGAGGGGAAGTAGTTAGGACTCGTGACCTCTGATGTGGAGGAGGGGGAGAGGGCTGGAGAAGGACAACTGTGCCAAAGCCAGCCAGACCAGGTCAGTGGGTGGGGACACCAGGTACACCCGAGGCCAGCAAGTGCTAGGACACAGGTGGGCTTTCAGTCTCTCTGGGCTGGGTCCTGTGACTAAGGGGATCCGACACTGAAAGCATGTTAACAAGAGGGAAGAGTACTCAAGTTCTTACAGGATAGAAAAGAAAATTCTAATAACCAGCTTCAAATGGAAGCCAGACAGTTGGCCAGAGGTGCTTCAAACAAATTGGTAAATGTCTGCTGTCATGAACTATCAACAGCAGAAGGATGGAGAGTCATAGAAAGTAAAAAGTTTTAATCAAATTTTCTGAAGTTTGAGCTTGTGCATAATATTATCAGGGGCATGGGCAAAAGGAAACCGGATTAAAAAATCAGCTAACACATAAAAGGTCCTGAAAGGAAGCACAACAAATGGAGCATGCAACAAATAAAACAGACACTTCTATATTCATACTTTAGAAAAAATAAACCAAGTATTCATGGTAAAATAAACCCTCTCTATTGCATTATTTAAAAATATGCAGAAACTTTTTTTCTACTAAGAAAGTATCCATAAACACCTATACTTGACTTGCCCCAAATATCTTGAAGCAATCTCAAAATTTAAGATAGAAGCTTTTGTCATATTCTTGCAGACCTGCCTCAGCATTACCATAATAATTAAAGGAAAAAACATATCAAAACTCATTTGGCTGCTACGGCCTTTCGAGGCACAGCTGTTGTAATTCTTAATACATGTACAGTGCTTGCCAGTGCTCCCCCCAACTCCCAGCCTTAGCTTTCAAAGGTTTTGTTGCTTGTTTTGTATCCTGTGGGATAGAAAATAACCTGCACTGATTGTGGCAATTGATTGACTCAGCTGGTGCCTCAGAATATGAAATGGGAACTGAACAGCACATCTGATAATTGTGTGGGCTGGAGGTGAGTGGGAAGGGGTGCCTGCCCCCTGGACTGCACGCAGAAGCATGGAACCAGCTGTGTCAGGCAACGGTCCCATCAGCTCTAGTAACACGAAGTACCTCTTATTCCCCCTGTCCTGCCTCTGCTGTCCAAGTCAACAAAGGGGCTGCTGCGCACTCTTGTCAGAATTTCTCTGGGGGACGTGCAATCCTCCCTTTGCCGATGAACCTCCCCCGGGAGACCAGGTGCTCTCCTCTCAGCTCTGCTGCCCGCCCCTCTAAGGGTCAGGGCCTGTCTGGCCAGCTAAGGGCATCTGGACAGGGAATTATAACTGCATCCTCCACAGGGAGGAGGTGGTTTTCAGGGTGTGGTTTTCTTTTAGGTCCTGTAGGCTTCCCTGAGGTGGGAGGCAAATAAATAGAAAACAGATTTTGGAGGGCAAGAGAGACGTTTTAATGATCATTACTGCTTAACTTGCCACAACTTTGTCAAATAGAGACAAAAGCATCAAATATAACCTTGTGCTTGCATTTAACAAAATAAGTTATTTTACTTAGAAAACAGGGAGAAGGATGAGCAGGGAAAACATACAATCCACACATTATTTAAAAGACTTACGAGGAGCTACAAGGAGCTGGACAGGTTTAAAGAAAATCCAGGTTCCTGAGAAAAATGCACAGGTTGTACTTAAGCCTGAAGATTTTGGCATAATGTCTTCAATTCCCATTTAAATTGAGCTAAAAAACAATCTCCATGTTCCGTTAGAAACTCAATCCCCAGTGTTTGCACCCTGGAGAATTATACAGGAAAACGCAGGTCGGGTAAGGAGGATGCCTTTCTAAGTCTATGTAGATATACACCTACACACATGCATATTGTTTTCAAGAGTAGGCTGCAAAGAGTTACTTAGGGTTTATAAGTTTCAGTTCTAGTAACTGGAAAATAAATTTTTGTGCCCCAGAGCGATATTGATTATTAGCTAAGGAAACAGCGCCGTCTGTTTTTCAGGATGCCCTATCTGGGAGTAGTTTTAAATTGCTGTCCTTCCTCGATCTTCATTTTACAATGATGGAGAAACGTATTCTTTCAGAATTATACAACTGTTTTCCTACTCAAGGTTAATGTCTTTCTGCTTGGATCCCCAAAGAGACTTAAGATCAGTTTGAAAAACAAGGGCTAAAGAAGCCTTCTGGGGACTACAGAGGGGGAGAAATTCACTCTACAAGCCCTCAGGGTTACCACTGAGGCGGCCCCCTCCCATCTTTCTCCCTGTGGCAGGATGGAGCAGTTTACAGCTCTACAGCCGCTGGAGCAATGAGAAGTGACGGGCCCAGGACCCCCATGTCAGGACAAGGCCTGTGGGTTCAGGGCAGAGCTGTAGAGTCCTGGTGCATCTCCCTTTTCGACTCAGGTGATAAAGGCTCAGACGTCTGCAGGGCAGGATGGCTCAGCCCTACGCTGCTCCCCTTGAGTGCAGCTCTCTCCTTTCTCCATTCTTGGTAAACCCATGGATTTTCCCCAAAAGGTTGGCACAGCCTGCTTGCTTGTTGGGAAAGAGACCAGCTCCTCTTTCGCAGCCCCATAAACAAACTTGCCCTTTCTCCTGAGACCCCTGATCCACTTCTCACTGACAACATGCCATTTTCTGTTCAATTCAGCATGTTTACTTTTTTACTGTGATTCAGGTCTGAGTTTCTTTTGAATCACATTATTGCATTTCCCTGGTGAGATGTGCCACATGACGACCTTGTCAGACCAAAATCAAATGAAATTTGCACCGAGTGCTGCCTGTCTCATCCCACCACGTTTTCTCTGTGGTTTGGACACACTTCTGTCAGCTGCTTGAGCAGGAATGAATCCTTCCAGCCTGTAGGCCAATTTTTAGATATTTCTGCCTTGGAAAAGAGAAAGACGAATTGGTTGAAACACTGTCAATAGCGAGAAAGACACTATTTCAAAACTATTTTACAATCTAGATGGTTGGTTTTTCCCAATATACATGGATTGAAGAAAACCAGAAAGACTGACTGGATGACTATGCTAAGTCACAGAAGCTACTGGAGACTTGCCTGACATTTTATCCCCAGAGATGCTTCAGGATTGAAGTAATTCATTGCTTTACCGAGTGTTGAAGCCAAGCATTCCACAGCACTTTTTGAATGGGGATGGAGCAAAGTAGTTCATATTACATTTTTTCAGCAAATACATTTTCCTCTCCCCTTCACTTTTTTTTTTCTTGGTGAGGAAGATTGCCCCTGAGCTAACATCTGTGCCAATCATCCTCTATTTTGTATATGGGACACCGCCACAGCATGGCTTGACGAGCAGCGTGTAGCGTGCCCAGGATCTGAACCCTGTGAACCTCAGGCCACTGAAGTGGAGCGTGGGCACTTTAGGCCGCCTAAGCAGAGCGTGTGAACTTAACCACTATGTCTCCAGGCCGGTCCCTCCCCTTCACTTTTTTGGGTGTGGATTATTATCTTTCAAGCGATTCCTGTGTGTCTCGTACAAATAACGTTTACAACATTAAGCTGTTCATACTAAATACATCTCCATCAAAGTATGGGAATGAGACTCTGGTTACTTGAGTCTTTCTTCTTGTCTCACGGCTTCCAGAATGACGTCCAAACTTCTCGATGGGACACATGGGGCCTTTCACGATCAGAGCCCTGACTACCCTCGTCCACCAGCCCCTCCTAGGATTCAATTTCCCAGTGCACCCCGTTCTTTCCCTCTTTCACCTTCTCCTGTCCAACTCCCACTCATCCTTCAAGGGAAAAGTCATCCTTGCCCGGTCTTGCTCCCCAGGCTGGCTCAGGTGCCCCCAGTGGCCTTCAAAGCAACACTGCATATCTCTCCTGTGGGTTTAAGTGAATGCACATGCTACAGTCCCTGTGTTGGTGCTTCCTCCGGCAGAGTGAGCTTCCTGAGGGCAGGGCGTGAAGTTCCCCCATGAGTCCCCAGCACCAGCAGTGTCAAGATTCACAGCATGTGCTTAGTACTCTCTGCTGAACTAATGAGCGCAACTTATTAGGTTAAACTTTCCCCCAAATCCTACTCAGCCAAAGATACCAGTAGAACTATTTTTTTAAGAGCATTCTGTGGTCTACAGTCACACCATTCTTTAGAACTTTCCCAACTCAGATATGAAAATACTATTTTAGCAATAAAAGGTGACAGTATATATTATAAAATACTTATTTTCACAGTTCTCAAACTCTTTATCCACAGAATAAAACCTACCTACTTATTTAAGTTACTTTTTAATGGGAACTTTTGCTGATATATGATACATAGTAAGGGGCTTAACAAGTCCTGTAGATGAAACAAAAATGTACTGAGCCCTTTCCATAAAGTGACTGGCTCACTCTGTCCTCAGAGTGCTGGACACAAGAGATGACAGAGACATACTGAAACCACCATATGACACAGTTTCCTTAAACATAAAATGGTATGAACTTCCTCTCTTGGATCTTACTATAAGTTAGTATTTTTCTTTTACTAGCTAACATTTCAACGGAATGCCAGATACAATTCTAGTACTTATGATGTATTAAAGGACTTAATCCTCACAACAACCTTATGAGGTTGATACTATAGTTATTCCATTTTACAGATGAGGAAACTGAGGCCCAGAAAGGTTAAAGCATGCCCAAGGTCACACAGCTAATGAGAAGACTATGAATATAGGCAGTCTGGCACCAGAGCCTAGGTCCCAAATCACGGCCTCTCAGTATTTTATCTGTGAGATTCACACTACACCAGGCAGACACAAGGCTCCTGACTCTCGATGTGGGTTAAAGGTAAGAATGCATATTTCACCACGCTATTCAAAGAGGCACATTTGGTTAAAGTTCTAAAGCCAAATGAACTTTAAAAAATAACTGCTTAAGGATTTTCTAGATTCACACTAGAATAAAAATTCCCTGGTGTTAGAGAAACTGCAGCCTGGGAATTTTCACGGCCCTGCTAATTCCCATAAGCTTGGCTGTGCCTCTAGAAAAGATGTGGGCATACAATTCAGTGACACAAGCAGGCAAGGACGGCAAGGGCTGGATGCCAGGCTTCAGGTGAGACACTTCTAACAGGCGTCCCCTTGTCCCTGCAGCTACTGCACAGGTTCATCATGAACCAGTACCCCTCCTCACGTCCCATTACTCTCTCCCCCAACGGTCCTCCTGCCAACATCAACATCCTCCCAAGAGGGTAGGGGGAGGGAGTACTTAATAATCTGAACGTTACTGAGTGCCAGGATTATTCCTAACAGAATTTACCATTTCATGGTTCTCTCAATAGCACCTTCCTATTTGTGCCTGCTTTGCTCTCTAGTGTATGTTCTTTTTCATTTTCTCCCTTCCTTATTTTTTTTTTAGAAAAACAAATTGATATTGGTTTTGGCGTGTAAAAGTATTTACTTCTTTCTCCCAGCTTTATTGAGATATACTTGATATATAACAGTATGTAAGTTTAAGGTGTACAATGTGATGATTTCATACACATCTTATTAACTTTTAAGCAGTCCTCTCTGACCCACTGACTAGCTAAAATGAGAATAAGAGTTTCTTGAAATGTAATTAATCAGACCTGGTAGTCTAGAGGTTAAGATTTGGTGCTCTCAGTGCTGTAGCCTGGGTTTGTTCCCTGGTCAGGGAACCACACCATCCGTCTGTTGGTTGTCACACTGTGGCACCTGCACGTTGCTGTGATGTTGAAAGCTATGCCACCAGTATTTCAAATAGCAGCAGGTCACCCATGGTGGACAGGCATCAGCGGAGCTTCCAGACTAAGACAGACCAGGAAGAAGGACCTGGCCACTTACTTTAAAAAAAAATGAAAATGCTGTGAATAGCAGCAGAGCATTGTCTGATACAGTGCCGGAAGGTGAGAAGATGGCACAAAAAGACCAGGCAGGGTTTCACTCTGCTGTACACAGGGTCACTAGGTAATTAATCAATTAATTAATACAACATTTTATTTCAGAGCATGACAACTCTTAATGAATCATTCATTACAATATGCTTGAAATGAGTATAAACTGTTTCAGTTTGCACTTATAAATCATATTTCTTCAGGAGATCTGAATGGGAAATAATTTTTTGCATACTTTCAAATGTGTTATAAAAATCCCAAGGTAGGTATTTTAAAATAGTCCATGAAAAATTGGACTCAGGTTATTTTATAAATTGTTATTTGAGCCTATAGCTAATCTCTTTGACATTAACATCTTTAATAAACATTTGAGCAATATCTGCATTCAGAATATTGGATAGAACTAAGACATCTCTATTCATTAGGCTTATATTTTCTCAATAACCTAATTTTGTCTTTCATAAGATATTAATGCTTTTGGAAGTCTTACACTTAATCCTATTAATTCCTAAGCTAGCCTTTAAAAGTGCATGAGGAAATATGCAAAGGCAGTCAATTTCACTGAATTATAAGTTAAATCGCTAAAGGTAAATCTAAGCATTTGAGGGTTCCTAAAATGCAGAACTTCATCTGAAAATATTTTCTGGATATAAGTCAAACCCTTGGGGCCTGGTTTGAGTTAGTTTCCTTGGCTTTGCAGTCTTCTCAACTAAGGTCATTGGCAATATACGAGGATGCACATTTCAGCAGAGTGAAGGTGTCTATTGGTCTGTGCTGCACCAAAGACCTAGTCTTCAAAGAAGCGTAGCAGTGGCATGCTCTGACTGCTGTAACGAATCTTGGGTGATGAAGCTCAGAATGGAGCTAAACCCAAGACAACACAGCAGCTGGGGCATAAATGAAGTATATGAGTGTGCCCCCAAGAGGAGAAAGAAGCAGAGTTTGAAACTCTTAGGATTTGGAGGTGGGAGGAACTGATTTCAAAACTACTTTAATTCCAGACAAGATGTTTCCCACAGTGAACAAGTTTGGTAGATACAGGACGGAAACACATTCTAAGATTTTAAAAACCACATATCCATATAATTTTATTTTTACTATAAGCACGCTACCTTATCTTCACCAATGACTGTGAACTAATTTTAATAAGGTAAAAAGAGAAATCCCCCCCCCACCCTTCACTCACACACACACTCACACACACTCACACTCACACACACACACTTAGGTGATGGCTTGCTTCTCTGAATCAAACTTCTCCAAATCAATTAATTCTCTTCAGTTCTTAAATGACTTTCCAACAAAATTAGCTAATGACACAGGCTGTGACGGAGGTGAGCCCTACATCTTATATACGCTAAGAGAATATCACTGTTCCTGGAAATGCCCCTGAAAGCTGTCTGCACTAGATCCCAGGACAGTGACATGCTCTCTGAGTTGGCAGGACAATAACAGCTGTCACAGCCATGACACTAGCCAGTCCCTTTACTGCTGTCTAATCTCCACCACATGACATCGATGGTCGGTCCATAATTGTTTTAAGTGGACAGTTTCTTCCTGCGGTAACTACTACAAATCCTGCTATTAGGATTTAACATCATATTTAATTATAGGAAAAGCCAAGAAAGGTGATCAGGAATGGGGCAGAGAGCCCGGTAGGCCTCTGTGTTCATGGCAACATTTACGTGGAATAAGGGAAAAGGTGAAGCGGTCCCCCTTTTTCCATTTAACATATGTTAGCTTCCCAATAACACGTCTCACAGCCAGATGGAAATGGATCCTGGATGAAACACCTGGTCCCTTTCTGGCAGCCCTCATGGGGCCCCACTGGCTGGCTAGATGAGTTGGGAGCACAGTACCAGGCGCCAGGCCCAGGAAGGCTGAGGAGGAGGCCTGGCGAAGAGCTCATGCTCACCTCGTACTCCTCCTTGAAGCCGTAGCCCTCGGCGCACTTCATCTGCGTGATGTGTTGAAGCAGGTCTGCCACCCGGATGGCGGGGTGCAGCTGCCCGGTCTGGTAGGGCACGTCGGCCAGCTCACGCTTCTTGTAAGTGTGGGACTGCACCAAGCTGCTGGTGTCACTGGCCATCGTGTGGGTTTCGTCTAGGAAAAGAAGGCATAGAGGAAGTGAGGGAGAACTAGCAGGATACAGCGGGGTCAGTGAGGATGCTAAGAAGCTGCCGCGGACATCCCCTCAACCTACGGCTGCAATAGTCCCTACACCGGCTCAGCAAAAAGAAAAGTTAAATGTTTACAAATTTAAATGGGATTGGCAATACTGATAGGAAGGAGGCAGAAATCTCTGTTTTTACAAAGCAGTCCAAACGATATATTGTTTTCACAAAGCTACTTGATAAGAATCCTCTAGCCTTTGGGTGCTAAAGTTTAGAGAAGTTTCAGTCTGAAACTTCATCAAGGTCTGGTGCAAAACCAGCCTTGTATTCTTCCAAAGATTAGTTAACTAGTTTGTATGATGAAGTAAATAAACTCTGTACAAATGTTCTGTGAGCAAAATAAAAGTGCACAAAATGGTTTGGCTTATAAAGCTAGCAATGAAAACGTGGACTTAATATATGAAATCCAAGAAAAGCGGAAAAAGAAAAAGGAACTTTGATGAGTCACTGTGCATGCTCCAGTATCAGAAAGCTTGACAACATACTGTGGACCCACACTTCACGCATGGAATGTTCTACAAGAGCTAACATGCAAGCCAACACACAGCAGAACCAGCTGGCTTTGTCAGAATCTACAGAGAAGACACACACTCCCATTCCCTCCACACCTTCTCCAGGGGGCGAATGGGGGACTTACCATTTATTGGCACTTTTAAGAAGATACATATCAGGAGAAAAGAGGAGAAAAAGGAAACAGGGCATAAGCGATAGTACCGTGTGAATAATTCCAGGTCGTTGCTATTTTGCGCTTTAATTTTACAGTTAAGTTTCTAGTCATAGGTGGTCAGAGGGTGAAGCCTCAATTCTCCATTCATGTCAGGACAGAGGTGTTTAATTTAAGCACTAAATAACAAAAAGGAGGTTAAAATAGTATCATAATTCCTTTTCATCCCCCATGAACCAAGTAATGACTAAAGAAGTCTTATTTGTATTCAACACATTTTCTCATTTAAGTTTCTTGAACAAGTCAACCAAATTATACTACAAAATTAATGTCAAATTTTGGTCAAATAAGCCTAAAGAGGCTATATTTTAATGGAAGACTACTAGTAAATTAGATTAACTAACTGCAGAAATTGTAGCTATTAAAAATGTCTTACACAGGAAAGTGCTATTAGATTCAGAGTTCCGCGTTCCTCAGGTTAATTCATTATAATGCTGAATCCCTTTAGCCGTTTTATGATTGAGCCTGGGTCTCATCAAAAAACAATGCTGAAGTCACTTAAAATGAGACTACGAAGTCAAAACTGATTTCAGGTATAAAGAATTAAAACATACAAGAAAGGATATGTTCAATTTTTTATAAAAATTACCAGATTGCTTATCAATAGGGAATTCAGCTATGGGTATTTTTTGGGTTTGGTTTTGTTTTTCAACTGAGAAATTCAGCTCGAAAGGGGATTAATTTCCTTCAAAGGTGTTTGGTTGGCTGGGCCTGGTTTGAAACCTCCCTTCCATCTGCATTGCAAAGCACCTGGGGATGCATGGCATGAAGGTGGCACACAGTGTGTCGCTATGTTGCTGTTGCTGAAATGGCACCTGGATCACTACAAGGTGGCTAAAGACACAAAGACAAAATAAAAAAGGGTGGTAAGTGGATTTTATGATTTTTTTTTTCATTTGGATTTGCTTTGAAGTTTAGCAATTCATATGTTCCCATTTTATTAGAAGAGTCACAAATAAGCCAGGAAATTTTCACATCAGATTTGCCTACTGGCACCTGCCAAGCTCATAAAGTGGGATACGGATCCCTGCTGAAGTACTGAATCCACCGGGCTGTAGCTACTCCAGCGGAAGTTGTGTCCTCTACGCGAGTCAATGGAACATTAATTGTTCCCCCGTGCCTCTCTCCTTCTCTCAGTTTTGTACCTTTGGGGATAAACTTAATTAAATGCCCTCCATTGGGGAGTGACCTTCTACACTTCCCTAAATGGATCGTTGGGGCCTTGCACGTGGATCCCCCGCAACCTCGCAACGCTCTGATCCCAGGGCCAGGTGTTCTCCGAAGTTTCAACCCCACAGAGCTGCAACCACCATCACCACTGTATGTGTCACCCCTGCTGCATTAGGACATCTCGGCCTCATTACCAGTGTGGACATGTCTTACAGCATTTAAACACCATCGAGGCTATGGAAGAAAAGGGTGCTCTTATCTGGTACGTAGATATTGAAGAGGGAACAGGAGGCTTCTCGTGCGATATGTGTTATGGAATTGGGTCACCCACACTATTAGAAATTCTTGATTCCACAAAAATTAGTAATTAATCAGTTTCCTCTGACTTCTTAAAAAAATTATTACTGCTAAAATATATCATTTTTCATTAATTTTTTATATTTGTTAAAAAGTACCCACCGACAATTTTTTTAATTAAAAATTATGCCTAAGAGGAAATCAGAAGCTTCTCACTAACAGTTCTGATGGTTTTCTAAGAACTGAGAATTAATTCTACCTATATTCTTTAATAAACTATCTTGAATTTTCAACAAACCAGCTGAAAAATCTAGAAGTGAAATAAGTGCTATGTTTTTGAGGTGGGGGAAGTTCTATCTATCTATCTCATTTTTTTTTGCAAGAAAATGACGGAAAGGCAACCTACAGCTCCACCCATGAGGGCTGGGCACCTTAGCATGTGAGAGTAAAAGACAGAGGTGCCAGAGGATTTAAGTGCCAAGCTCCGAGTCACAACAGAACATTTCTTCTTGTCTTAATATGAATTATAATAGTACTACGCCCAAAAAGTGCCAGAGCAAGGTACAGTTTATCTTCTTTCCATGGTTTCAAGCCATAACCTCACTCATCCTTACTATACGATACACAGATTCACATTTGCAGCAAACAGTGTGGAAGGAATAGTTCCCAAGCATCGTCATTTGTTGCGTTGGTTCATATATAAGCCAGACATGATAACAGTTATTTGTCGATCTAGCTGACTTATTTTTCACAATGTGCATAATTTTTGCTACTTGAATTGTCTGTTCAATTGATTCCCTCTCGGTAAAGCCTAACAAACTTTAAAAGATGCCATTCGTGTTCATAATAACAAAGCAGCGACTTTAAAAAATATTTGTTTAATAAGCTTATCTTAATCCTGCTGTGAAATCTGAACATTTTCTTCCCTCTGACAATGCACGTCTTAGCCCTCCCCACTCACAGCTCCCCAAGGTCAGAACATCTACTACAGGAACCGAGGAATGAATGCCACAGCACACAAAGAAGTCGCAAATCTTTATCTATTGAAAGATTCTGCAAATGTCATCTGCGTGGAGATTGCATTGTTGGGTGCCTGAGATTAGCCTGTGCCCCTCACTTATGAAAAGAATAAAAATGCTGCCTTCTTTCCCTTATAGTTGGTATTAAAGAGGGGGGGCTTAGTGAGCTTTGTTTGTTAGCCTTCAAAATGATGCAAATTCAAAATTCTGGTTTATGTCCATTCTTAAACTTCTGTCTGAGTTCATTTTTCCCTCAGGCAGCAAATTTGCTTAAGCCCAACAAACACCATAAGGACAAAAAAATCACCCTCTATACAAAAATCATAACAACTCAGAGAAAGGAGAAGCACAGGGGGAAAAATTATGTTGCAAAGGTATAAACCCTTGTAAAGAGAATTAGGAAGCAGAAGTGGCACTGCTGAGGATGGAACTCTCGCTACGATGGACTGTCACACACCTTGAAGTCATTTGCTGTGCTCCTTTGAGGTAAGGTTAGTAGCAGGAAGAGAACACAGCCGGGACACACTCGGATTATTTATGCACCTCAAATGCAAGGGCAGCTCATGCCTCTTGGGTTATCACAGCCAGGTACTGCCATTTCTCCTCACCCTCTTGCACTGCACACGTGGGATTTTCCTCTTTAACTCCCCACTGGGACATTTCATGCTTTTAATGCATTCTGCCCCACTGGGCTAACATTTTATTTCATTTCTAGTGACATCTGACACCGAGTAAACCATGTGATTACAAAGGGCCATCTTGTCATTTTGCTGTTGAGAACATCAGCTCCTTTGAAATTCCACTGTGTGACAGGCACTTTGGAATGTTGGGGGTGCCCTGAGTGGCTCCAGGAGAGGTAGGGGGCCAAAACTCTATTGTAATTGTTTTTCTGTACAACATTTGGCATAATTAGAAAAATGCTACTTTTGAAATTGAAGTTTTTAGCCCTTAGCAACAAGTGAAAATAAGAAGCAGCATTTTCACTTTTATGACTGTCATACTGGACAGAATTCAGCTCTTGGAAGTACACAGCTGCATGATGACATGTAGTGTTTTTCCCTGGGATCAGAACTGACTTTTAATTCTGAACACAGAAAGGAAGAATACCGGAGCAGGGATTGTTCATTTGAACCTTTTGGCATCATTCCCAACATACATGCAGCAAACCCTTCTTATCAATGGAGACTGTTTGGAGAAAAGTCTTTTTATTATCTATGCACCTCCCCCACCCAGGCTACCCACCACCCCCGTGTCCTGCTTACAATCACTGCATCATAGGGAATTAAAACTCCAGTCTCCTACAGAGTAGCCACTGACTTTCTAAATTACTCCTGCAATCAACTGTGATAACGGGAAATGTTCTCACCTAAGATTGCAGTTGGCACAAATGGGTCTGCCATACATCACAAGCAGGTCAACGCAGAGAAAGTAAAAAGAGAAAGAACAGTAAATGACTGATGAAAGGCCTCCCAGTTTTCCCGTAGAAAGCCACAGAAAGCATCAGGTTACAACACGTCAAACATGTTAAGCTCCTAAAGCATCACGGACAGCAAAATGAGCCCTGATTGACTCTGATTGCTCAGGGGTTATGAAGAGAGGAAACAACAGAAAAATCTGTTACCTGGGTAATAGGAATTAGGCACCGATGTGCTCAGTGTATTCGTTTTCATTGTAAACGACGATGGTGAAGACACAGCTGTGAACAAGAGAAAGGTTAGTCAGCGGGTGTAGAGGGGCAACTCCTGAAGATATGGCGCTCTGCGATAACTCACAGGGACATATGCTGGCGTAGACTGAAGAAACCTCAGAGATGTACTGAAGTGTGTGTCGTAAATATCACCATTCCCCGCTGTCCCTAGGGAATTACTTGTACTTCAGAGGTCAAGCACCCTTTTATCACTTAAAAGATTTTCTTACCCCACAAATGAAGAAAACACCCCATAACCACAGCTGCCAGTTTGAATCGAGAAATTCACTGGACTGCTATTGTGACTTCTAGCCTTTGCTCATAGAAGTCTAGTATCAGGCCAAGCTGATTTTTCATAACTAAAAGTATGAGGATGTGTCTACACATGGCTTTTGGAGAATATTCTGAATGTTAATGTTTTTGTAGTTTGCTAAATCCCCTCCTTCCTCATATTTTGGATTCCCCATATTTGGATATTCCACAATGCTATGACCTGGTTTACGAAAAATAAATGTGTTGTTTCACGTGTGCTATATTTAAGGTGAAAGTTGTATGCCTACATATTGTTCTATTAGTCTTTTCAACCCTTTTAAAGATTTTATTTATTTATTTTTTCCCCCAAAGCCCCATAGGTGCACATCCTTCTAGTTGCTGTGTGTGGGACGCGGCCTCAGCATGGCCGGAGAAGCGGTGCGTCGGTGCGCGCCCGGGATCCGAACCCGGGTCGCCAGCAGCGGAGCGCGCTCACTTAACCACCAAGCCACGGGGCCGGCCCCTCAACCCTTTTAAAAATGTTCATTTTTCTTTAAAATATTTCTCTGAAATACTGAAGATTTAACTATTACATGTTCTCTCCCTGCTACGAAGCGGGAAAGTCAATCCCATCCAATTTATCTGATTCCATTGAAAGTGGGTATTTCCTATTTTTAAAATAGTTTGTTAAAAAACTCTTCAATGTCTTAATTGATTAGTGCTTTAAAAACACTTCAATTTCATTAAAGTGTAAGGATAAATGATTTGAATGTGCTCAAGTGCTCAAGTTGGTTAAATGTAAGCCTAAATCTTAACTCCTCTGAGGTAGATATATGATGTACTAGGTGCTGGGTTCCTGATCAGGCCACTAATACTCCATTACATCATTGTGTTACAGGAGCCATCACAAGATCCCTGTGGATATTGTAGGTTAGCTTTATTCTGACGACATGGGAAAATATTTTAGCTCTCTTGGAGCAGTTCCTTTAGGACAGTGTTTTTATCTGTGTTTATATTTTAAAGTGTAGAATTAGTAAATAACAAAACAAGAACCAGAACCCAGGCTGCCTGTCATTTATAAGACACTTTTCTGAAATAGAGAAGTATCACATTTGTAATGCACGTTTATGGTAAGCTGCCAGGAAAAAAGAGAGAAATTGATGAAAATAAGAAGAAAAAACCTGAGTACCTATAAAACATGTTAGGGTCAGCGAGAATAATGCCTATTACCTGCAGATATTTTTATGTGGTTGGTAAAATGTGCAAAGCAGATACAAAATAACTATATTTATTTTTACCTTTAAAAAAAGATATTTACATTTGTCTTTTAGTATAAAAATTAAACTCATTCCCCCATACATATCTATTTTCCCCTTTTTATGTACAATTCCCATTTGCTTTGGTGGACAGGTGATTCCCCATTCTCATAAATGTGCTCGTGCTTATTTCTAATTTAGAAAAGTAGCTATAAAAGTAGCTTTTATAAAAGCTACTCACCTCCCAACTGCCAGCAATTTCTCCCAACCCTAAAAGATCTCAAACATACCCAGACCTGTCATAGGTTTGGGGCTGGAAGCCTAGTGGTCCAATGAACACTTTTCTTGCATGTTTCCTCCCCCAGTGAACTGCTCTCTTATTTCCCAGGCATTAAGAGAGTATTACGATAAAGTTTACCATTGGGGTCACTCTTGATGGATAGGATTTGATGGAACTACTCACTGCTCAAAGAGTGGGAGGAAAATGGAATGCCCGCTGCTGCTGCTTCTACAGGCTTGACTGATGGGAGGCAGACCATGATGCCCAACGGCAGATGGGCCATGGAAGCTGGCGCCGGCCTCCACAGCAGTCCTCTGCGATGGGCACTTGTGCATTTCCAGAGATACATGCACTTTTTAAAAAGTAACTCCAAAATACATTTCCCGTCCAGAGGCAAATATCCCGTTGTTCAAACTTCAAAAGCCTAGAAATTACTAATGCAAGTTTCTGCTTTTGGGGCAGGTAATTCCAAGTAAATTTATTTGTGAGGAATTTTACCATGAAATACAAAATTTGGAACATTAATGGGTTATCTTGGAAAGTGAGAACATATATCCAGTGGTCCCTTTCAGACTAACGTTCAAGAGATAACTGCTACTACAAAATTCTAACCTTGTCTGTGGTGGGAAGGACTCCTATCACCCCAGCCCACAACAAATGGATCATAATTGCTTTATTTTGGTAGTTAAATGCAATATATATATATGCATTATATATATTTATTTATATATATATAATATACTATTATATTTAATATATATATAAGGCATATATATATACCTTTTTAATGAAAAATATAATATTTGCTACAAAAAAGCAGAGAAAATTCTATGAAAAAATGCGATGTTGTTTGTGGTATCCTGAAGCACCATAGACTCTCACCTACACTGAAAATGATGTGAAAAAAGAAAGAACAAGGACCAAGGGAGAGGAGTGCTGTCCTGCTCCCCACGGTCGAAGCCGTGTCTCCCTGTGTGTGAACTCCCACTCCACTGGGCCAGGTGTGCTCGTAAAATAAACAAATGGGATCAGGTGGACAACTGTCACCACTATAAAGTGGCTCTAAGTGGGATCAGGTGGACAACTGTAGCCACTATAAACAGAAAGAAGCAGCTTTTCTACGAACCTTGCTGAAGGTAGGAGAAAGGCAAGGTGCAAGAGAAAGGCACATGCATTGACCACGTAGTGATCGGAGAAAGGAGGAGTGGACGGGGCCAGGCTGCAGAATCAAAACTGGCCAAATCGCTGGTCAGGACATGAGCAGACACTGTGTGCACTGGTATCAGCCCTCTTCCCCCAGAGACAGATTTCTGTGTTTCTCACAGTCAGAGGCCCCAAGCCTTTACACTTTTTCATTAGTGATGGTGATGGCTGTACTTTTATTCCATCCTCATGCTGACCAACATCCTGATTATGCAGCCGGGATGAGCAGCAGCTTGTGGGCATGGATTTCACACGGTAAAGAAACCTCTGACATTGAACCCAGGGCCGTGAACCACAGAGTCAGGCCACATCAGGGATTTACATCTGGTCTCTGAGAAGATCCCCAGGGATACAAGAACCACTCTTTCCATACTTCATAAAATCAATGTAACTTCCCAAAATAATGCCTTGTACCTGGATACAGGTGGTGGTATGGGAAGGAATTAGCTCAGCTCAGTTTACCCACCTGGCGGGAAATATAAGATCTGTGAAGCAGGAATACAGTTTAACTTATTAATTGCCACTAATAGCCCTATAATAAAGGCAGAACCTGTCAGCCAAACAACTAAACAATTAACTTGTTACTGCCATTTAGTGAACTGTTTTATAACAGGAGTTATAAAACTTGTGGAGTTCCCCACCTGGCTAGCTTACAGATAGGATCTAAACAACAAAAAGGATGCGGAGAAGCAGGTGCCTTCCTCTTCAAGAGGAGAGAAGCCTTCACGTCCTTGCTCTCTAAGTCTCTACAGACACAACTGTGGCTTTCTATGTTCTCAGATCTGGCCCTATCACCTTTGCAACATCATCTCTCCTAAGCAACCCATGGCACACAGATAAGTTTTCAGGGTCGTTTAAAGGGACTGGAGAAACCAATAGGGCATAAGAATTCCTTAGGGAGTTTTTTTGCTTTGTAATCCCCCAGTACTATTTGGAATCCTGGAAAACCAGAGAGATGTATCAGAATCCAGGAAACGGGTGCACTTACATCTTCCATTCAGATTGTGCGTGTCCATGAAGGAGAAGGCCTCATCGCAGTTGGTGCCTTGCTCGGCATAGCTCTTGTCCATTGAGTTCACCATCACGGTCATCTCCTGTCGGGTGCTGCTCATCGTCTCCTTCCGCTTCTTGGCTAGTTTCCTTAGGACAAAGAGTTCATTATATAGACACACATGTGAAAGGAAAATGGGGCACTGGCATGTGTACTGACCAACGATCAGAAATAACTTCTATTGAATTAATCACATTCATCCATAACACTGATTTATGGTGCCTTCTGGATGTTGGGTTCTCTCCCAACTGCAGAGACACAGAGATGAAAAACATCCACTGCCTATCCTCAAAAAACCCACTGTGATATTAGCCTAAAACATCACTTTCTTTTTCTCCTACTAAAAGCTAAATTAAAACAGCCAACAGCCCTACTACAATGCAGTCATAATCTATTTACTGATATGCTTCTAGAATTACTAACGTTTTACTAAATTATTTTCTACATTGCCATATTCAGTGTCAAAGAGTAAATCCCCCTAGTAAATATTTGCCAAACAAAACTGAAATCATCCAAGGATGAATCTAAGAAGTATATTGTAGAACTAAAGAGCAAAACTAGGCGGGCAGTGAAGATAGTCTAATTGCAGTGCGTGCATACAGGGAGCAGGTTGTGACACAAAGCCTACACAGGACAAGGAGCTCAGGCATCAGGAGCCCCAGAGGGCAAATCCTGAATGCTCAGATGGTGATGACATTGGACCAAATCCCAAATGAACCCAAATTAGTTCCCCATCTAGGCTGGTCAACAGAGCAGAAGGTGAAAAAAATGTCAAGTTGTTGGCTTCCCTGGAAAGTTAAGCCAAGGGGTAAGTCCCCATGTTCCCTCCCTCAGTGGAAGAGAATGCAAAAAGGCCGAGGAAGGCAGAGATCTCCGATTCTTTTGGAGACAGTTTAATCCTGGCCTCTGGATCCTGCTCATTGACCACCAAAAGCTCATAATTTAAGCTTACAGATACCTTGAAGTTACAGTTACCCGGACAAGAGTCATAAAAACCTAAGGGAAATTGACATACAAATAAACAGATGAAACAAATTTTTACAGGTTTTACTACCAGAGGTTGTTTTATGCACCCAAGACAGACAAGAACAGAATTAGAGATGCTTAAGAAGAAAGTATAAAGTGAGAAGGTTTAAGAAGACCATAGTGCCATAATACCAAAAATATTATGTCCTAAAATATTCTAATTCTGCTTAAGCACCTAGCAGCGTTTACGAGAGAAAATGGCATCTCTAGTAAATCATCTTGACTCTGATTGACCTAGGACATAGCAGAATTTAAAATGAGCCCCATAATCAAAATCACCCCCATATTAGGTGATTGCTAATGCAACGGAAGGCACTGACAACATTAGACCATATGAATAATCTTTATTATCATTCCCAAATGCCACATAATCCAAATGCTTTCTTGCCTGTAGTTGTAATAATCTTTTAATTTCATACTTTGAAGGCAGAACAGTTTCATTAATAAGTTGCCCTTTTTATTGCTACAAGTTGTCGCAAAAAAGATACATTTTTAAACAGAAAACTGAAAATCATCTATAACTTCTATGACAGTGTTAAAGTTGTAAAGATTTTGAAAAATAAGCCAGCGTGGCTCCTCTGGCGCTGGCATTCCTCTCTCACCAGCATGCAGACCATGATCGCCCTCTCAGAGCCCCTTTTCCGTGCTAGTCCGAGAGCCAGAAGTTGGGCCTGGATGCTCTCCGCAGGTGTTCTGGACCCAGGCAGCATCAGGGTTAAGCTCCACGGCCACGGTTACAATAACACCTCTTCTCTCCACTTCTGAATCTGCCAGCTCATTGGAAAAGCATTCTCAGGCCAGGTCTCCACAGGAACAGTGAAGTGGAGAACCGAGATAATTAGCTCCATAATTCAGGCAAAAGGTCCCCTTTTTGCCAAAATTTCTTTGATATGCTTTGGACTGATTTATGCAGACAATTGCCTCAATATTCTCTTTCATTCTGCCTATGAAGAAAGGCATACTCAAGTTCACCAGACTTCTCCTTTGTCTCTTCTTGCTTGTATTCCTCTAATCCTTACAGATAAGGAAACGACAGTGAATGTGCTCCTGGCATTGTTGGTGGTGGGAGGTAGTGGTGGACGAGGGGTATGTGTGCACCAATAAAAGCTAGGCTTGTACTAGAAAAGACATTTCTCCTTTCTAATCCTCCAGATGCGTGAACTAATTTCAGTGACATCAAGTTATACACTTCATTAGTGCTCTTCTTAAGCACAAAAGAAGCCCATCAAAGATTTGTGAGAGCCTGCTCAAACCAAAGAGGTCCAGTCAGAGACCCACAGCTTTAAGCTCGCATCCATTAAGCACATACTCTTTGTCCATGAACCTTCTTCCAAACCCAGCTCACAACGTCCTCAGCAAGCCTTCCTGAGTTACCATTACCCCTTAACCACATTTTTAGTCTCATCAGATGTCACAAACACAAATGTCTCACCAGGCCCAGGCAGGTAACATAAGTGACTAAAATAGGTATAATAGAATAAGGAGTGGTGGAGACTGGAGAAATAGAAGGGGAGACAGCCACTCGGCTCCAACAGATTGATGCCCATGGAGTTCCCAGACACTGTAAATTTCAGAACCAGAGATCCAGATTTTAGGTAAACTCTTAATTTTTAAGTCTTGCCAAATAATTCAAATTAAAAAGTAAAATGCAGGGGCCGGCCCCGTGGCTTAGTGGTTAAGTGTGCATGCTCTGCTGCTGGCGGCCCGGGTTCGGATCCCAGGCGTGCACCGACGCACCGCTTCTCCGGCCATGCTGAGGCCACGTCCCACATACAGCAACTAGAAGTATGT